ACTATGTCAGAAATTAAAATATTTTTGTATAGATTATCCAAGTCTATATTTCCTAGCAAAATACATGATATACTAGAATATATGTGATAGATTTATGACAACTTTCATATGGAGAGTATTAAAATAGTCATTTAAAAATCATTATTGCAATGATCATTGCAATCCATAATTAATGAATAATCTAAAAACATGACTTTTATTTATTCTTCCACCTATGAAAGATTTATTTTAATCCCCATGGCAGATCTATGAAGTAGGTACAATTATTAACCTCATTTTATGGATGAGGAAATGAAGTTCACACAGCCAGTAATGGGAATTAGATTTGTACAGGGCACATTCACTCCACAACAGTATTAATTAACTTCTCAGATACTAAGCCTGCATTTGACATGTCAGAAATTTTAAAATATTTTTTGTAGTAGATATATCCCAAGTCCAATATTTCCTTAGCAAAATACATGATATACTAGGAATATAATTGTGATAGATTATATGGGACAACCTTTTCATAGGGAGTATTAAATAGTCATTAAAAATTACAATTATATGCAATGGAATCATTGCAATCCATAATTAATGAATAATCTAAAAACATGACTTTTATTTATTCTTACCACCCTAATAATTTATTATTTTATTATTTCCTATCAATTTAAAATTTCTCTTATTGTCATTATACTTTCAAAATGATCTGATTGAGAATATATTTCATTGTATCCATTGAATAGTAAAGCACAGAAACTAAAGTTAAATTCCTCAAGTTCCTTAAATGAAAGAAAATTATAAATGCATTAGAAACCTAGCATCATAATCTAGAGGTGTGGCACAAGTGATAGAATGCCTGCCTAGCAAGCATGAAGCCCTCATTTCAAACCCCAGTACTGCCAAACAAGAAAAACAAAAAACTACCACCGAAACCAACCATAATTTTTTCTGGTAACTTCAAAAATTTTTATTTTAGAATGAGAGATGGTTAAGAATCTACTGCTTTATCCACTTCTCATCTTCACTTACATCTCTCTGTAATCAGCCAAAAAAAGCCTAGGGGAAAATCAAGAGTAATAAAAGAAATAGGAAAATATCCTCATTCTGTGGAGTTAACTTGTCCTTCTCTTAAATCTTTTTGTGCCTCAATACCATTTCAGAAAGAGTGAAACATTAGTGGAGGACAAGGCTGACAGAATAAGAGGATCCCTTTTGTTTTTTTCTAATACATTTTGATAATTATCATTGTTTTTTCATTTTATTTTTCTTCTGCCATTCTCAAAATTCAAATGAAAACTCGTCCATAAGGACCTGTGAGCGCTCCCACACCTGGATTGAAATACTTTGTTCTCTGTATCTTCAAAACCACAAAATCTTTCAGAGCTTCCAGTTATCAGCTACCAACTACCAACTAGCATCACGTGCTGAGAGATAGTACTTTTTCAGAGGCATTTGACTTTTACCTAATTCCAAAGCACATGTATTTGGAGGTAGATAATAAATTTGTCCCTTTGTCCCTTGTACTCAAATTTGATTCAGGTTTAAGTAAACTGTTCTTTAAAAGACTATCATAATTTTGAACACAGTTTTATGCTTTTAAACATCATTTTTATATTACACAAAGTAGAGACATTCATCTATCTGTAGAAATTATGAATGCTATTATTATAACTAAATGCTATGGTTAATATCACATAGGAAAGTCTTTTTTTTTTTTTTCTCTGAAGTTTGCTGAAAACTACAGGGCAATGAATTCCTGCCTTTAATGAGTTGGATCTTTTAAGTTTAACTTTTCAATCTTATACAAATGGGCCTAGCTGGAAAGAGCATTTGAAGGTAACAAATCAGGTATAGTCTGTGTATGAGAAAAAATATCTTTTTGAAGTCTAAATTGGTAACATGCTGCTAGTCATTTGGACAGGAGCCTGCATAGTCATCATTTCCTGGCTAAGGTGTAAGAAGACAGAATTGGCACACCATTCAGAAGGCCTCAGTGACTCCTCTGACATCTAATAGCTGGTGATACTAGTGATGGAATCCTATCCCCAAGGAAAATGCAATGTAGCAACAAAACATGCAAATAGATATTTAATTTCTCCTAACGTTTGAATCAAAAAGAGGACATTTTTGTCCTCTATGAGCAAAATTGTTTAGGTATAATAGGCATTATGATTTAACTGTGCTTGTCTATAGTTGCCTCTATAGAAATATTAATTGACCTAAGTGAATTTTCAGCTAAAATTTTAGTTGTTGGTGTTCCTGAAAATTTTTTTTAAAAAGTCCATGTAAACCATTATTTTTATGTTTGCTGTACTATAGACGCATTTTGTGTAACTTTTAAAAAAATCTGTGACTCCAACTTTTAAGAAATCTGCATCTACCCAGAACAGTGTGGTTGCCCTCATTTGTGTAGGGTTGAAGTGCAGAATCTGGAAAATGAAAAATAAGTAGAGCTTTATTTTTAAGCTTGGTCTCAATTGCAGAAGTGAAGTGTGTCTACTCCATTTATCACAGAATGAAAATAAATCATTAGAGTTACCTCCATTTCCTTTGTTTAAGATAGGGTACAGAGAATACGTTTGCCCCTTGCCTTTCCCTTCTGAGTGATATTCTCCTTTTTGGTACACGTATTAATTGTCCACATCAGTTCAGTGTGATATTTCCATACACGCATGAAGTACACTCTTCTCCCCACCCCTACACACTGCCCAGATCAACTTTTTGTTTCCACATATATGAAAGAACACGAACTACTCGTCTTTCTGTGTCTGCCTTATTTCAATGAATATAAGGTCCAGATTCATCCATTTTGCAGCCGGATCTCATTTTTCTTTGTGGCTGAATGATACCCTGAGGCTATCTCAAAAAGACTGGGATCAAGAAAATCACTCAATTACCTGATTAGTGCTTTTCATTCAACTCTTTGAGATTTTTCTTCTTCATTTTTTTTCCCTCCAGGATGGATCTTTGCTAATTTGTATTCTAGTTACACTCTAACTGCCTACACAGAGCTAAAAGGAGCCAAAATAGTTTGTACTGCTGCTTCTTTCATCTGTTCTCTGATGCACAACCTTCCAGATACTTTGCTGGGGACCCACTATGTATCGACATAGACTATTTTGTCTCACAATCATCACCCTGCCCTGTGTACTTCCCCAAATCTGTTAGGCTAGGAGTCCTTGTTTTGAAAGTTTTCCAATACAATCATACAAGCCCATTCAGACTATTCAGAATTATCTTCTTACTTAAGATTAACCATCATGGGTTTTAATGTTATTTGCAACACTTTCAAGCTACTTCTAGATAGTGTTCCTTTGAAATTTTTGGGATATAGCCCTGCTAAATTGACCCATCAATAAAATCATCACAATCAGTATTTCCTAAATAATATCATCTCAAAATGTAATCAGTATAAGCACTGTTAATGAGATACTTTACTTCTTTTTTATGTTGTCTTCATAATTTAGTGTTGATTTAATATGTCAACTCAGACTACCTACGTGTATAATAAACAGAGATATTTAGGGGCCACTGAAAACAAAGACTCATTAGCTGCTTATTATGTATTTTTAAAGCAGTGATTCTCAAATGGGGTTCATTTTGCCCTACAGGGGACATTTGGTAATGCTTAAAAACCTTTTTCATTGTCATAACTGAATGGTGGTTATGGGAGCTCTACCTAGGAGATGCTGCTAAATATCCTAGAATGCATAGAATAAGCCTACCTAGACCCCAAATAATGATTCATTCAGTTCAAAAAGTTCATAGTGCTTTTACAGCAGGTGAAAAACCCTGCTGTAAAGCAGAATTTTGAGGCATTGAAGAACAAGATAAGCAAAGTATTGAGAAAGGTAGGAAGATGAAAATTGCCAAAGCCCTTAGAAATCTTTTCTTGCACCTTGGAGAAAGTTCTTCAGAGATGTGAATGAGAACCTCACATCATTTGCATCTCTTTGGCCATATGCACAGTCAGGGATAGGATGAGGGTTGAGATAGGCATTAAAATGACACATTAATGGTCATTAAGAAAATCTTCACATTGGTAGTTATCTCCTTAACAGGTGAATGAAAGTCAATAGCTATCTTTTCCAAAGCTATTTAGGTTTTTCCTACAGCTGGCCTTGATTTAGTAGATTTCTGCAAAAATTATAAAAATGCAAATGAAAATTTATAAATGAGAATTTGAAATAATTAGTGTCATCTCAGACTGTGGAATAAAGTATTAAATAAATCAATACTCATCATTAGGGTTTTTTTCTGAGAAAAAAACATGATATTTAAGAAGAAATCACTGTTTAGAGGTAGTAATCATATGTAAACCCTAATCTTAAATTTACTTCTATTAAAACTAACTGCAAATTCAGAATTAACTTCATTTGCTAAGACTTGGCAATGTATGTACACTGAAGCTAGCAGCAAATTGCATAAATTTGTTAAAACTTAATATTTAGAAAAATTGCACAACTGAGTTATTCTATAAAATGTTCAGACCTGCTTGAAGTAATTATTGGTTAAAAGCAATGCCAAATGATGATTGTAAACATAGCTTAGAGTCAATACTTCTGAGACATATTTCCTATTAGATAGTGGTTACAGTTCATTTCACAAATTCTTAATTTAATATGTAAAAACTAAGTCTTCCTAAATCTAAATGACATTCTTATTAAAGATTCTTAATTTGTATTGAAAGTGCTTGAAATAAAACATAATTATAATTTGTGAACAAGTTTAGCACTGAAAATGATGACAACACACTTCTATCAATGTAATTTTTTAAGTTTTTCCAAATAACTTTGATTTTGAGATGACTTCAATTAATCAATTATTTGAGTAAATGCATAATTTTATGTAGCAGTGTATTACAAAACTTTTTTCTTTTTAGGTGTCAATAACCTTGTCAGAAACAAAACTTTATACTTTGTGGGAATTAAAAAGTTTGGAACATAGCTATGGTTTACATTTTACAGTTTTTCAAAAAGTTTAAGAATTATAAATTCGGCTTTTTTTCCTAGAAATACACAAAGAAAAGACAGAAAAGCAGGAGAAATCTGAAAGGAAAATACAATCTAAAGGTAAATGTTTAATGTTTATTCCAAGTTTTAGGAGATATTTTTCTTTATATATTATGTGGAAGAAGAAGTTTCATATTTAGGGGGTTTTCTTTCTTTTAAAATTTTTGGTATTATTTATATAAGTACTTTTACTCTTCAGTGAAGTTTGGGCATAAATAAAGTGAATGCTATGGAATGATTGAGGTCAAAGTAACTTTAAAATGCATGACAATCTTTAAATCATTTACAGTTGGATTTACTTACTAAATTATACCACAAATATATTTTTTGGCTTACTGAGAAATACTTTTCTTCTCCTAATAGGTTACTGTAATGAGTTGGAGTTCATCGTTTTAAAACACATGAGCTTCTCATGCCATGCAATACTTTTAGAATCTTTGATGTAGAAGTGCAGAGTCACTGTATTACTTCATTGCAGAATACCTTGGTCCCATAGCATTCTCCCACAGCCTTAAGGGATTAGATGAACAGAGACAACACGATGAATAATATCCCTTCTACTGAAATGAATCCAGGAACTGCAGTCTTGAAGCAGAAGTATTTTAATAATGACCAGCATTGCCTTGCTTATCTGACAAGCATCATTTTTCTATGAGTGACCCCTATAGCCATAAAGCTTCAAAGAAACTTGTAGGAAGTAAAGACATTCAAAAGGAACGTGTTGCTAAGCACACCCACATTTTCTCAGTGGATAAGCAAGTGCAAAAATAAAAATCTCAGTTACTATACTTGTAGGATACTGAGAGAAAATGAAAATTTTTTTCCTGGAATAAATATTAAATGTTTTCCTATGTTTTTATGTAAAAATTGGCTAATGCAAAATTACCTGTCATATATTCCACAGTTGCAGATAGTAAAGTTTCAAATAATAGTTTAATTAAACTTAAATTACAGTAGCGTGTTTATCTATTTTTCAATGCCATGTTTTGTTGTTTTTAAACATATTTCATATACCTCCATTCTGTGACGAGCTCAGCTATTCTTGAGATATTAATTATTTAATAATAATGTTTGAGTTTGTTCTGTATTGGTCAGCCAATCCTTACATAATCAGGACATTGAAGCTCATTCAATGGAAACTTATTTGTACTTCTACTTAGTGAGTTAATGTCTTCTTATTGTTCTCTTTCCTTTTTTGGTTACTAATTCCTTTGGTCAGGAAAATTGGACACAGCACTTGAGCATGGATTGACTAAGGGAGCCATGACTGAACTGGCTGTTTCTATTTGTTGAGGTTAAATAGAAACTCAACTGGTTCCACACGATTGGAATCTCTGCTGTTTCATCCTGCAGACTCTACTATTAATTTAATAGCAGTGCTGCTGGAGTGGAGATGGTGATACAGATGGCACCATTTGCATTTTGGACCCAGTTCTCTTAGAATTCTGCTTTTAAAGACTTGGAGCAGTAGGTTGTAGAGTGGGTTTATTAAACTAGTGAGTCTTCCATAATTAAAACAGTGAATTTGGCTGAAGTTTAAAATGAATTTCTCAAAGGCTGGGCTAGAGCTTAGTTACCTGAATATATTTCTTCAGTAGACCAAATATATTTTGGGAAAGTAAATGCTTCCCAAAAAAGATAAAAGGAATTTTCAGTTGTTCAGTAACGATGTGGGCATCAGAAATAGTTTATTATTTTTTCCTACAATATTTCTGTGTGAATATTAATGAAATATTTTATTTGGCTTATTAGTTTTCTATTCATAATTGAAATACAATAATGGTAGTAAGTATACAGCTTTATAACTTTATACTGTATTCTTTATGTCACATTCAATGTCAGTTATGATATGTATAAATATATATATATATAATATGTGCAGATAGTTTTGATTTAAATTTTTATTAAAGTGTTTTGAACTTTTAAAAGAAAAGATATCATATCTACAAGGTAATAGTTTGACTACCTGTAGTGATTATAAACAAGCCAGCAAATATCTTAGCTTAGAAAGATTCCTGTGTTAAAACTGGTGTGTTTTGTTCAGAGATAAAAATGTTGGTGATAGTGGAAAATAGATCACATCCTATTGTCTCTGTTCTTTTTAGTTCTCCAAAGGACATATGTGGTATTCTAAAAGATGTTAAGAGTGTGAAAGTCGTTAGGAAAGTTTTGTGAATTACATCTTGATGATTTACTCATCAACTCAAACACAGAAAACCAAAGAATATGTAATTCCAGAGAACATAGATTTCTATGACAATTCTATATAAATATGCTAACTAATTCATTTTTATGTTGTCAAAGAATTAATCAGTTTCAATTCTGACTTCATCATGGGAAATAAGGAAAGTTTTATACTCATCCACATTAAGTGATTTAAATTCATAATATAAGGCTAACTTTTATTTTTACTTTGCCCCTCTGTTTATTTTGTTTGATGTTTTTCATTAGGGAGAAAAATAGTTTCATGGAGCTAATGAGAGATCCTTTTAAATCATAAACCTGGAAATGAGTATCTATTACAGTTTTGAGAATAAGCTCTGACATGTTAGTTAACCTTGGTTTAAAAGAGGTAGGAATTTATTTTATAAATATAATTATAATAATGTATGTATATATGACCTTGTATTGTGTTTGTATAGTAGTGTTGTAGAATATTACATCTGCTTAGAAGAAACTTGCAACCATAATTTAACTTTTCCTGGATTAGCAAATCCTATTAACCCAATTGTTGCTCATATAAATTACCCCTGGTGAGCAGGCAGAATGTGTAAACCACAACAGAATAGTTGTGGGTACTGAGCAGCTTGCTCTAATGCAAAATTGCATGGAGAGTGCTGATTCCATATCAGGGTTATGGTATGTAACGAAAGCTCTTTTTTTTGTTTTTTTTTTTTTGATAACAAAAACATTTTTATGTAGAACTTTTGATTGACATTTATGAAGTTTACCTTTACATATTTTCATAATCAACAAACTGAAGATAATATTCTATCCAAATATGGATGATGATAAATTCTCCAAACCAGAAACTACAGGCTATATTTTCTGATTCAATACTGTGAAATTAATGACACAGTGAAAGCCAAATCAATCCAAATTATTATTTTGACAAAGAGAAAAATGAAGACAATTATAAAGTGAATCAAAATCAATGAAAGCCCTACAAAAAAAAAATGTAAGTTATGGCCAAAGGAGTGCTTGAAGCAAACTACATACTTTGTGAAAATATTCTTAGAGAAACAGAGAGACTGAAATTAGTGTTGAAATCCAAAACCAAATAAACAACAGAAAAATGTGAAAGAAGTAGAAATAATTATAAATGTAAAAGAGAAATTAATGTTATTTTTCTATAAAATACAGAGCTAACTACTAGAATGGAAAATTCATTATTTTAAATATTATCCAAATGGTCTATTCTTCAAAAAGTCTGATCTCAAGTAAAACAAAGAAGACAAAATAGACAAATGTAGGAAATAAAAAGGACATAATAAAATACAATGGGAATTTCCATGAAAAGAGGCTTCAGTATCCAACAATGTACTAACAATTTAAGTGTGTACGAGGTGAGTTTTTGAGACTCTATGAATTTAGACTGGGCATAGTGGCCCGCACTTGTAGTGCCAGCTACTTAGAACACAGAGATCAAGAGGATCATGGTTTGAGGTCAGTCTGGGAAAAGAGTCATCAAGATCACATCTCAACCAATAAGGCAGGTGCGGGAGTCCATAGGTAGGAGAATCATGATCTGAAACTCACCCTGGGGGAAAAATGTGAGACCCTACCTGAAAACTAGCTAAAACAAAAAAGGTCTGGGGATGTGGCTGGAGTGGTAGAGTGCCTGACTAGCAAGCTTAATGCCCTGAGTTCAAACCCCATAACCACAAGAAAAAAAAAGTACATCAATTTATAAAATTGACTCAAGAAAATGCATCAAAATGGAATACAATAATAACCACAAAAGAAATAGAAAAAGTAATCAAAGGTCAAATAGTAAAAAACAAAACAAAACAAAAAAAACCACAGAAATTTTCCATACTCAGGTGCCATTTTTGTTTTAGTCATTTATTCAAAACCTTTCAGTACCGATTGTTTCCATGATTTGTGAACTATTGCATAGTGTATAAAAATATGAAAGGCTTCTACACTCACTGTTTGAGGCTAGGATTATAAGGATAGAAAACTCAGAAAACTATGACACACATAGATGCAGCATAGACATACATACACATTGGCCAACCTTACCTATAAATTTATATGGAGATGCCCTAAGTAAAATTATCATTTGATTTCAGTAGTGTATTAAATCAGCATTATATAATAATTAAGTGGGCTATGTTCAAGGAATTCAAGGATGGTTTGGAACTTGAACATTACTGTTATTTATTGTTTTTGTCTTTTTGCTAACAACCATTCTAACTTAAGTGATATCTCATTATGGTTTGTTTTTTTTGTTTTTTTTTTTTTTTTTTTTTTGAGACAGGGCCTCACTATGTAGCCCAAGCTCAGGCTAGTCTCAAATTTGTGACCCTCTTGACTCAATCTTCTGAGTGCTGGAATTATAGGTGTGTACTACCATGGCTGGATAGCAGTTTTCTGATTTTTTTTTTAATTTTTATTTTATTCATATGTGCATACAATGTTTGGGTCATTTCTTCCCTCTTCCCCACACCCCTTCCCTTTCCCCAATCCTGCACCCTCCCTTACCCCCCACACCCCTCGCTACCTGGCAGAAACTATTTAATCATTATCTTTAATTTTGTTGAAGAGGGAGTATAAGCAATAATAGGAAGGACCAAGGGTTTTTGCTAGTTGAGATAAGGAAAGCTATACAGGGAGTTGACTTACATTAATTTCCTATGCATGTGTGTTACCTTCTAGGTTAATTCTTTTTGATCTAACCTTTTCTCTAGTTCCTGGTCCCCTTCTCCTATTGGCCTCAGTTGCTTTTAAGTAATCAGCTTTAGTTTCTCTGAGTTGAGGGCAACAAATGCTAGCTAATTTTTTAGGTGTCTTACCTATCCTCACAACCTCCCTGTGTGCTCTCGCTTTTATCATGT